AAAAAAAAAAAAAAAAAAAAAAAAAAAAGAGTGGAAAGGTATTCAGATACAAGTTTGTAAAGGCACAAATGTTAAGATGACCACAAAAAGACAAAAAGTATTACGATTTCTGTTCAGCAAAAAATATCCTTAATAAAATTAGCATGCAGATTAAAACTTATACAAAGTATTTTCATTTTCTACAAGTGATAAGTTGCTAGAAGAGAAAATGATTAAAAAACTATCCAACACAAATACGAACTAAGAAGGAAATAGACTACAGAAGAGCTTACACAGAAAAGGGAAAAAAGGACTAAAGGAAAAATGGAAAGGAGTATCAATTCAAATCAGTAAAATTAATCAAACTGAAAACATCAGGAGTTCATCAGGAAGACAAATAGAAATTATTGCCCCTGGCAGAGGCAGTGTGAATTAGATTTTAAATTGCTACACACTCTGGGCACTAGGCAAGTATGTTCCTGAGTATCAGTGGCATTTCCTCTAGGGCAGCAAGAAAGAAAATGTTTCCAGCACATTTATATCACTAACAGAACATGAAAATCCTGCTTTCCCACAACTGTGGAAAAGGCAAATGAAATATAATGTCACATCCACGTTTTCTCAAGTATGGAATCACCAATAGATTAAGACCTCTCACTTAGCAGGTTGGTGGACATAGAAATCCTGGATGACATGGCATCCTGAGATCAAAAAGACCCCATTAGATGACATTTTCCCAACTTTGCATTATAAACCCAAGTTGAGTGACACAAAAATCTGTCTGTACTTGAACACCGTTTCTCTTTTTTAAGTAATTTACTTATTTATTTTTGCAACAGGTTCTCACTAAGTAGTCCAGGCTGGCCTTGAACTCATGGCAAACCTTCGATTCAGCCTCCCCTGTGCTGGGATTACAGGCATACGCTACCATGCCAGGTGCTTTTTCACTTCTCCTCCACTCCCTCATTGCTTTTAGGTTCTATTGGAGCTAAAACCCACAAAGGTCATTATAGCTTGTTGTGCTATGATGACACACACTGGAGGTGTAGAGGCCAGACTAAGGAGTGAGTGAACTGAAGCTCAGCATTATCTCAGCTGTGCCTTTCTCCAGAGGACATTCCCATGGACTTCTGCAGGATATCAACATAAGAGGTTATCCAAAGATTGTGGGGAATTCAGAACTCAGGTGGGGGGTTCAGGGACCCTAGCCACACACGGAACACAGAAGAAATGCCTGTGGTCATCTCTTTCCCTAGAGTGATGTCAATCACTGCAAAGGAAAAACGAGCCCAAGTGTAGAAGGTAACAATTCTAGGCCAACATGAGTTCAGGCCATTAAGGCAAGGAAGAGGCAGGGGGAAATAGAAAAGGGTAGAGTAGAAAGCTAAATACTTCCTAAAAGACTGAGGCAGAAAGAATGGTTCCCATAATCAGCACAAAATAGACCCAGGAATGGAAGTGTTCTCACTTCAGTATTGTCCACGCTTGGTGTCTTGTGGTGGAAATGATCAGCTCTGAGTCTGACCAATGACAATTTCTATCCCTTTTCCTCATGAAACTAGTATGACCAGTGCTCCACTTCTATAGTAATAAATACAAGTAAATAAATAATCAAGCCAAAGCAAACCAAACAAAAAACAGAAAACCAGCCACAGCACTCCTTTTTATCAAAAATCAAAATACTATTCATAATGTATCCCAGTTCAGTCCTTCAAATTTGATTAATACAGAACTCAACACAAAGTATTACCAGATAAGTTTCATATTCTAGAGAAGTACTTTACAAGAGTTGAAGGAATGAGTCTACACATTCTCCTTGAATTAATAACGGAAAATATCTTGATCAACCCACAGGGTGTTCAAAATATAATGTATTTATATATATATATATAATCTAGCAAACACTGCTAAGCCTTGGCTCCTTTAAAACTGAGACACACATAATAGCCAAAACAAAACAAATAAACCTGATACACACATATATTAACCTGTAATTGAGAAAAATGCATGTGACACGTAGCTTATTTCATGAGAAAATACTAAATATCCCATGTAATTTATTGAATGTGCTGCACTGTAAATCACAGGATTTTTTTTTTCTTGGTGTTCTGTAGAAGACAGAGCAGGGACTCACTGCTGCTGCCCAGCATCTCAAGCAAGTATTGTACCAGATACCACTAGTGTCCAAAGAGCATAAAATTCCAAATCAAAGTAAATTTTCCACTGAATACTTATCACTTTTCCTTTATGCTTTATTGCTGGACTGAATTCAGGGTCTTACACATGTTACACAAGTTACTTAAGATTGGAGACACAGCCCACTGAATTTACTTTATGTTGAACTGGGTCTTGCTCCTGTCCAGCCTGGCCTTGCTAGTGCAATAATACCTGCCTCAGTGGCCCCAGTGGCTGAGATGAAATGTGGGCAGCACCATGCCGCACTGAGTTTCATTAACCAAGCACAGTAATCCTAGATAACAGTGGTGATGGAGAAACTCCCATCTTAGGCAGGCATGCGGCACAAGCCTGTCATTGCAGCACTCCAGGAGGCTGAAACAAGATCAAAAGTTTACTGCACCCTGGGTAACATAGTGGGATCTGGCCTCAAAATATTTAAAATATTAAAAGGTGGAGAATATATTCCAGACAAAAAGTCCTGGGTTCAATCTTCTGTACAATAAAAACAACAATAACACTTAAAATCTGTTGTATCCTGGAAAAATCCTTTTCCATCACACTTGGATGATGATAGCCACCAATTTTTAAGCCAGACAATGTCAAGCAGCTTCCTAATTTCCATTTTTTCTGGAAAAGACAGTTAGGGGCAAGTATGCTGGCACATACCACTAGTCTCAATACTCAGGATGCTAAGTAAAGAGAACAGCCACAAGCTGGAGGCAAACCTGGGCTATAGCAAGTTCGAGGCCAGCCTGAAATACGTAGCAGAACTCTCAAAAAAAAACAAGGAAATCGATTTGTTTACCTGGTTAGTAGTAACAGAAGACAAACATCTAAATTTTACTAAGTCTCCTTTCTTAATGCCTCAGATGTTTGCCCACTCTTAGATTGAGCTAGCACACAACTCCTTTACTGTCATAGTAGAAAAATACCTCAGGGTGAAGGCCCCTCTGTTGTAGATGTGGGTTTCCCATCACTATTCCATCCTCTTCCACTTTCTCCTATTTCCTCCTGCTTGCATAGAAAATTCCTTTATCACTAACCACTCTTACGGCTGAAGAGCTCACATTTCAGGCTTTACTCCTACTAGAATATTCCTTTGATATAAAGTCCACCACAATCAGCATTCCAATTCTTAAAGTGTCTACAGTCCAAGGTCTACAGTAACTCTTTGAGGTGCTGCCCCTGTCCTTTTTTTTTACTCCTACCGAATCACACGTCTGTCTAGATGCTCGGGTTTAATGACTCTTACACGGTGCATTTAACTAGCAGTTCCTTCTGGACCTTTCTCCTGCCCTTGCTAACACATTAACATCCCCTTTATTTTTCTCAGGATTCTAAACATTAACAGAAGGCCTCACATAAGTAGTCTTTATGTTTGTAGAGGCTCCACGTCAATCATTAAGATGACACTTGTTTTTTTATTGCTGTATATGTAATACAGGCGTTCATTCCATGCTTAGCATTGTACCACTGACTCAGATGGCCAGCAATATTGAATATTTCTTTTTTTCTTTCGCTTTGTTTTTGTGTCGGTTTGTTTGTTTGTTTGTCTTATTTATTCACTGAAAGTCTAGGTAGTTCAGGCTGGGCTTACTCTCATTAGGTAGTTCAGGGTACACTCAAAATCGCAGCGAACTTGCTGCCTCAGCCTCCGGAGTGCTGGGGCTACAGGACTGCACCACCAAGCCTGCTGATCCTTCAACTGTCATGGCATTACTCATCACTTATCCCGAGTGTGGTGGCAATGTGGGCACGTAATGGAATTTTGGCAATTTACTCTCATCACAGAGCAGCATTGAGAAGCTAAGTTATGGTTTTTAGACCCTTTATCACAGATATTTATAAAATTCAAGCCCACCAGGTCTGCGTGAAGAATGAATGGGGCCAGCGATCCCGCACACCACAGCTTCCCCGCCTGGACTCCCCACCGAAGCAGCGTCTCCCCACAATTCCCTCTCCATACACAGGTGGAGACGCAGCTGCGGCTGCCGACACCGCACTCCGGGCTGGCGGGGTGGCTGTGGACAGGATGTTGGGTATACAGTGTAGACCTCTCTGAGGCACACAGTGTAGACCTCTCTGAGGCGGAGGGACAGAGTGTCCACGGCGCGGAGACCAAGAGGAGCTCTGATGAGAGCAGTGGGGAGGCACCGGCGCCATTGCTGTCCTCACCGCGTCCGCCCAGGCCTCGCCCCCTCTGGTCAGGTCGCTAGTCAGCGCACCCATCCCACAACCTCACCATTGTCGCTGGAGGGTCTCCCCGGGTGCTTCCCACTCAGCCTGCAGCCAGTAAAAATCCTAAAGCAGGACGGCCTGCCCCGCTGGGGCGGCTCTCAGCACCGCGATCAGGTCTAGGCTTTGGCGCCGTGAAACAGAACCCGCCTCCCCTGGGCCACCTGATTGGGCAGTTAAGACAGCCCGGCCCTCAACACTGATTGGCTCCTGCTCCACTGCCCGCCCTCTGAACTAAGAGTGACAACAGAAGCTGATTTTTACCTGCGCAAGGGCTCCTCAAATGGGAGAGTCTAATCTGGACACTTCTTGACCAGTTTGTCTCCCAAACTGACCTGACCTAGCCTGCATTTCAGAAGAGTTTACTCCTGGTGTCGCCGAGCTGCTTCTGTCCTCTTTTGTTTTGTTTTTATGACAAGTCTTGCAATGTAATTTAATCTGTTCTTGAATTCACTATGTAGCTCAGACTGGTCTTGAGCTCCCTGTGATCCTCCTGCTCCATTCTCCCCACTGCGTGGTTTACAGGAGTGCACCACCATGCCTGACTACTCCAGTCTTCTTAATGGACTCAGTGAGATCTCCCTGTGTGTTGCTCTTCTAAATGGGATCACCAGTCTGCTAAGAGAGTTCCAGAGTTAATTCACCATGGAGAAATCACTGTGAGAATCCAAGGAAGACCAGGACAAAATGCTTTTGTAAGAGGAGTGAAATCAGAAATAAGGTTGTTGGCTTTATGGAAAAGACTTCTCACACTGTATCTCTTGATTTTAAGAAAAAAGTACACACATACACACAGACACACACACACACATATGCCAAAGAAAGGCATATGCTTGCTGAATAAACACACTCTCTGATGTTGAGGCAGGGAAACATAAGGACTTCAGACTGTAAGCTCCCTGTGCCCTGCAGTTCCCTCCTCAAAAGTTGCAGCTCTGTCTTTCTGCACAGTTATGTTGCTAGAAGGAAAATATTACCTGGAATCATGTGACCCAAATAACTCTCCAGCCACCACAGTCCATGATGTTCACTGCTTCATTCCACTGGTATGTTTCTTTATGAAGGACCTGGGTCACCAGCAGTCACCGTGCACCTGCAGGTTCAAGCTTCTCCACAGTGAGTCAGGGCTCAGGACGAAAATGCCACTTGCCACCTCCATCTTCATTGAAGTCTCTCTTTGCTCTCCCCATGGGCTTCAATTCTCAATTCAGATCCTTCCTGGGTCCTGGGGCTCACTTCCCTCCTTATCTTCTTCCTCACATTGCTATATTCCAGAGTCTGGAATCAAATCTTAAGAGGCTGTTTCTCTGCTGTTCACCACTTTCCCATCTTCCCAGAAGGTTCTCGTTGTTTACTACTGATGAGGGGATTCAGAGGCTTAGGGAAATGTGAGTGATGGAATGGGTTTTTCAAGTCAATCCTAATTGCCACATCACTGTGGCCCTACAGTAAGAGGAGGGGCCTCTGAAGTTCACTTGATCAATGGAGTTTTAGCAGAGGTCCGACTCACTGTTGAGTAAGTCCCCAAATTTACTCTGTAGTTATATCGCTGGCAGAATACACAATATAATTAGAACTTGGTGGAACACCCACATTGGTTCAGTAAACTGTAACATGAAGGCTATTATAAAAGAAAAAGCCAAATGGAAGCCATTAGAGTTGCCTTTGCTGGGTAAAATATTAAACAAAAACAATATCACTTTCTTGGAGGGATTGCAGAGATTAGTGCTATTATCAAGGACTTGAAGGATACAGGGTTGGTTGTTCCCAACACATCTCCATTTAATTCTTTGATTTGGCCTGTGCAGAAAATGGATGAATCTTGGATAATGATGGTATACTACCACAAAGTGAATCAGTTGTCACTCCAACTAAAGCTGCTTTACCAGATGTGGTGCCGTTGCTTGAGAAGATTAGCACATCTCCTGTTACTTGGTATGCAGCTATTGACTTGGCAAATGACTTCCTTCTCCATACCTACCCACATGACTCATGAGAAACGATTTGTTTTCAGTGGGCAAGACCAGCAACACGTTTTCATTGTCCTACCTCAAAGTTATATTAGCTCTCCAGCCCTGTGTCACAACTTAGTTTGCAGGGATCTTGATCACCTTTCTCTTTCACAAAGCATAACATTGGTCCATTACATTGATAATATTATGCTGACTGGACCAAGTCAGCAGGACTTGTTATTGGTAAATAACACTGGACTTGTTATTAAAGAATTTGAGAAGCAGAGGATGGGAAATAAGTTCTACTAAAATTACGCGTCCTTTTTTCTCAGTGAAATTTCTAGGAGTCAAGTAGTGTGGGCCATGTAGAGATGCCCCTTCTAAGATAAATATTTTGTCAATCAGGCTTGTCTTACAACAAAAAAGAAGGTCAATGACTCATGGGCCTATTTGGATATTGGATGAGGCAATACATTCCTTACTTAGCTGTTTAACTCCAGCCCATGTACTCAGTGACTCAGAAAGCTGCTACTTTTGAGTGTGGCCCTGAATAAGATAAGGCTCTAACAGGTCCAGGCTTCTGTGCATGCTTCTCTGATAATGGGGTCATATGATCCCATTGGCATTTCGAGTGGTGGTGGCAGGTAGGGAAGTTGTTTGTAGTCTCTAGTGGTCCTCCTGGATAAATTGCTATGGAGATCTTTAGGATTGTGGAACAAGACTCTGCCTTCATCTGCAGACAGCTACTCTCCCTTTGAAAAATAGATCTTGACCTGCTACTGGGCCTTACTGGAACTGAATGCTTGATCACGGGTCAGAAGGTAGCCACACAACCTGAACTGCCTGTCATGAGCTGAGTATTATCTAATCTATTGAGTCAAAAGTTGGACATACACAGCAACAGTCTATCACTAAAAGGAAATAGTATATACATGATCGAGACAGAGCAGGTCCAGAGGCTACAAGTAAGTTACGGGAAGAAGTTCCTCAGATGCCCATGGCTCCTACTACTGACATATCACCTTCTGTTTCCCAACATGCACCTATAGTCTCACGGGGCCTACCATATGATCAACTGTTAAGGGGGAGGGAGTCTGTTTAGGGATGGTTCTGCATGTTATGCAAGCTCCACCAATAAGTGGACAGGTACAGCATTACGACCCCTTTCCAGGACACCCACAAAGGTGAAGGAAAATCTTAACAGTGTGCAAACTTTGGACAGTGCACCTGGTAGTATATTTTTCCTGGGAGGAAAAATGGTCAAATATGCAAATGTATACTGATTCGTGGGCTGTAGACAATGGTCTGGTCCAGCATTCAGGAACTTGGAGGACATAACAGGAAAATTGGTGTTAAAGTTGTTTGGGGAGGAGGTATGTGGATAGACCTATCTTTATGGACAAAGATGTAAAAATATTTGAAATTTTCTTTTGCTTGTTTTGGTTTGGTTTTTTGGTACTGGGAATTGAGCTCACCTTCTACTTGTAAAACAGACATGGTACCACTGAGTTAAATCCCTGGCCCAGTAAAAATATTTGTATCTCATGTAAACACTCACCAAAAAGTGACCTCAGCAGAAGCCTTTAACAGTCAAGTAGATAAGATTACCTATTCTGTAGCCAATAGTCAACTTCTGTCTTCAGCCACCCCATCATTGCCCAGTGGGCTCGTGAACAGAGTAGCCATGTTGGCAGGGATAGCTTTTATGCACGCTCACAAACATGGGCACCCTCTTACCAAGGCTTATCTAGCTACAGCCACTGCTGAATGCCCAATGTGCCAGTGGCAGACACCAACCTTGATTTCCCAGTATGGCACCATTCCTTGGGGTGAAGAGCCTTTGACCTGGTGGCAGGTTGATTATATTGGAGCATTTCCATCACGGAAAGGAGTGTGCATTGTCCTTACTGGCAAAAATACTTATTCTGTAAATGGATTTGCCTTTTCTGCATATAATACTTCCGCCAAACTCCCATCCGTGGAATCACATAATGCCTTATCCAATATCGTGGAATTCCACAGTGTTGGCTGTGAGCATTGGCTTAAGGAATACCTATGATGTCCAAAGAAATGAGGCAATAGGTTCCTGCTCATGGAATTCACTGGTCTCACCATGCTTCTCACCATCTGGAAGCAACTGGATTGATAGAAGTGTGGAATGGTCTTTTGAAGACACAGTTGTAGCACCAGTTAGGTGACAATAGCTTTGCAGGGCTGGGGCAAGGTTTTTATAAAGGCTGTGTATACTTTGAGTCAGCACCCACTCTGTTGTACTATGTCTCCTTAGCCAGGATTCATGTGTACAGGGATGAGGGGTAGAGGTAAGAATGGTACCAGTCACCATTATCTGTAATGATCTACTAGCAAAAAATTTTGCACCCAAATTCTCATGACTTTATGCTTTGCTGGCTTAGAAAGAATTCTTAATTGCAGAAAGGGAAGACCTGTAACAGGAAGCACAACAATGATACAATTGAAGTGGAACCGAAGACTCCCCCCTGGTAATTTTGGTCTCTTTTTGACTCTGAGGAAACTAGCTAAAAAGGGTGTTACTAGTTAAAAAGGGTGTTGAGGGGGTGACTGACACAGACTGTCAAGGGAATATTGGAATATTACTCCACATGGAGAAAAGAAAAAAAAAACTTGGAATCCAGGTGATTCCTTAGCACACCTACCAGTATTAATCTGCCATGTATAAAAGTCAATGGAAAACTATACAATGCAATCCAAGCACAATATCATATAGCCCAGATCCTTCAGGAATGAAAGTATGAGTCACCATCTCAGGGAAAGAACCAGTATCTGCAGAGGTACTTGCTGAAGGTCAAGGAAATGCAAAATGAGTAGTACAAGGTAGTTCTAAATATCAGCTATGCCCCTGTGAGCTGCTACAGAAATGAGGACTGTAACTGTAATACTTCTTTCCTAATATGCTTCCAATGTAATATAATGTTGATAGAATTAATATTGGTTAAGTCTTGTTAACCTCTGTTTTAGTGTTCAAGTTATGAAATGATAGGAGTAAGCATCACCCAAAGAAATCTTCTCTTCTATTCTTGCAAAGGAGTTAGTGTGTTTCCATTTGTACACAGGATAATTACAACATGTTAGGTATATTTATAAACTTGGTTTGTATCTGGAGACTATGGTTTAAAGAAATGTGTCTGGTTTTGAAGTCATCAAGAATGG